AGTTCCTCCTGTGGTTGTGTTGAGTCTCTCTCTAGTGGTCTGAGTTCCTCCTGTGGTTGTGTTGAGTCTCTCTGTAGTGGTCTGAGTTCCTCCTGTGGTTGTGTTGAGTCTCTCTGTAGTGGTCTGAGTTCCTCCTGTGGTTGTGTTGAGTCTCTCTGTAGTGGTCTGAGTTCCTCCTGTGGTTGTGTTGAGTCTCTCTGTAGTGGTCTGAGTTCCTCCTGTGGTTGTGTTGAGTCTCTCTCTAGTGGTCTGAGTTCCTCCTGTGGTTGTGTTGAGTCTCTCTGTAGTGGTCTGAGTTCCTCCTGTGGTTGTGTTGAGTCTGTCTGTAGTGGTCTGAGTTCCTCCTGAGGTTGTGTTGAGTCTCTCTGAAGTGCTTTTGAGTGGCGTTCTAATTGATTGCATGTGTTTCTTGTTTTACTTCGGAGTGTTTTCGTGTTCTCTTGTGATCATATTTAGCCTCTGCGCTGTCGTTTGATTGACTTTCCAACAGGAAATATGAAACCATAGCTCCAGGGGCCCGTTCAATAACCCCTCCATTAAAACCACATTTAAACAGATCGCAGAAATCAAACACTGAGACGCACACAGACTGCACATTCACTTCAAGTAGAGTCCATGCCACAGATCCAGAGTGAGATATTTAAATGAAGAAGGAGTGAAACATTAAGTCCACCTTCAGCGTTTGGTCCGTGTGCAAAGCGTCCGTCAGAAGGAGCTGGGTTCTCGTGGCATTGATTATTCTGTAACAGTCGAAGCCGTGGGTCTCTGAGTCGGAGAGTTGAACCAGCAACTTTATTCAGTTTACAATCTGCGGAGAGCTGAGGGGGGGGCGGGGCCTGTGAAATAGAGAAAGAAACACAAAGAGAGGTTTAACTAACGTTTCAATGGCAGACAGCGACACAACATGTAAACGTATAATAACGTCTTTGCCTTTACATTTGTAATAACGGATTTCACATTTTTCTCAGAATTATATTTCTTTCAATTTTTTTTACTTCTTCTCAAAATCTTTCTTTTTCTCCAAATTTTACTTTTTCAGAATTTCATTTTTTTCTCATGATTTAAATTTCTTCTTCTCACCATTTCACATATTTTATCAAAATGAAAACATGTTCTCAAAATGTCACTTTTTTTTCAAAATTTTACTTTTTTCTCATAATTTAGAATTTTTCTCTGATTACATTTGTTCTCATTACATTTTTTTTCTCAAATGTCTATTTTCCTTATATTTCGCTTTTTTCTCAAATTGTTGCTTTTTTCTCATAATCTCACTTTTTTATCTCACTCTTTATTCCTGATATTTTCCCTTTCCCCTCTGGAGGTGCGTTCAGGCTCCCCAACAGAAACCCGTCCTCCCAGCGTCTCTCCTGTAACTCACCGGCCTCACAGCGAGCTGCTCAGAATCTCCGACACCTGAGCGTTCGTCTGCTCGTCAGAATCCACTTCCTGTGTGC